AGGCAGGGACACGGGGAGAGTGGTGCCGCTACGTGCAGGAGACAGGGACGTGCCCCTTCGGCAAGAAGTGCTGGTTCCGCCACACTTGACTAGCACCCGCAAGCGACGCGGCGGAGCTCCAGGCCGCCGCAGCGCAGAGCGGCTCTCTGCCTAGCCTGGACTGGGCGCCCACGCGGGTTTCGGGCACGCCGAATTCCACGCCACCCCGGCGCCTGCCTGGCCGCCGACCACGCCCCTCGCTCTCGCCGCGCGCGCCGCCATGCCGCAGTCGGCAGCGCAGCCAGTCCAGCCCAAGCGGCGAACCCACTCGCAGCGCCCGTGCCCACGTCGGGCCAGGCGCAACCTCCCTCTCTCACGGCGCAGCACCGCCGCTGGGAACGCCACTGCTCCCTGCGGGAATGGCAGCCACCTCGGGGACGCTGCCCCTGCCACCATCCACGCCGTCCTCGCAGGGCCGCTCCTCCCGCGCCAGCAACGCCAGCGAACGCCAGCGCTCCCCTCGCAGCCAATCGAGTTGGGATAGGTCGCGCACCTCGATCTGGGGACGCTCGCCAAACCAAGGTGAGACTGTGCCCATGCAGTGTCCCGCGCCCAGCGGGACCAGCCTCGTTGACCATGCCGCCGCCTTGCTGCAACCAGCTTAACTCGCGGATCGACGAGCTTGACGGAACACCGCTGCCCGACTACCAGCCCCCGCGGGTCATTTTGCGGGCTGCGCACTGCACGCGCGCAGACGCGGTCCCATGTCTTCTCGCGCCACCTGCCGCTGCCCCCGTCGCGGGAGGAGCGCGCCGCCCGCGGCCTGCGCAGCCGCTCACGCCCGCGCAGCGCATTGCCTGGGCCTGGGACTCGTCCGCGTTGCAGCCTGCCAAAACGCACCTGCAGGATGCGCCAAGCCAAGTGCGAAGCGGGGTGCGCAGTGCCTTGCACTGGACGAAGCATTGCCCAGACCTCGAGCATTGGGCCACGGGACGAGTGGCGCGCTGGGCCGCGCGAGCGCGCCGGCTGGCCGCAGCAACCGCGCACTGGAGGTCGAGTCTCGCCCCTGAGGTCAAAGCAGTCCTGCCCCCAGATTATAGCGGCCCGCTCCACAGGGAAATGCTGGAAGCGTCTGGACACGCAGACCTGGCTGTGTGCGACGACATCGAGCGCGGTTTCCCGATGGCAGGGCTCATGCCCGATTCCATGCTCTGCGGCAGCGCGGACCTTGGGCACCTGCCCAATCGTCGGGGCCTCGAGGGCGCGCTGCAGCGAGCGCGCTAGCGCCGGGACCGCACGCAGAAGGACCTCCTGAGCAAACCGCGCCGGGGGCCAGGAACGCAGGGCATCCTGCGCCAGACGCAGGAAGACGTCGCGGAAGGGAGGATGGAAGGCCCATGGGAGGTGTACCTAGGCCGCGATGGCGAGATCGTCAGCACAGTGCCCTTCGCAGAATGGCTTCCGACCCAGCGGTTTCCCAGGGTGCAGCGCCGCGCGGCAACCAGCTGCGACGCGCGGCCAATTGGCAATTGCACCGTGGGCGGCCTCAACCCCGCAGCCGCGGCCAGCGAGGCCATGCGAGTCACAGGGCCCTCCGCGCTCATGGCCACCGTCCAGCACGTGGCAGAACTCTGTCAGGATTGGGGCAGCGACGGCGCCCCCCTTCTCGCGAAGGGGGACCGCGAGAAGGCATGCCGCCAGTGGCCCGTTCGCCTAGACGAGCGCATGCACGTGGCCGCGCTGGTCTGGAGCGACGACGTGGGCACCGAAGGCGGCTTTCTCGCGTTCGCCCGCAGAGCCCTGCCCTTCGGCGCCTTTGGCGCCGTCTGGGGGTGCGCGCGCGCGTCGGCGGCAGTGTTTGCCGCGCGCTCCAGCGCTTGTTTGCGGTCCTTCAGATGGCGTGCGTCGACGACTTCTTCCGCGCCTCGCCACGCCGCTTCGCCGCGCAGCAGCAATGGATCGTCGGCCAGCTGCACTACTTACTCGGCATCCCGCTCAAGAGCGAGAAAGGGCAGGCCCCCGCGCAGCGGTTCGAGATGCTGGGCTTGGAAGCGGCCGCGGCAGCGCAGTGGTCTGGGCTGCGGCTCACCGACAAGCGGCGGTCACAGCTCCTGCAAGCAGTGGAAGAGGCACTGCGTCTCTCGCGATTGGCAGCCAGAGGCGCGTCCCGCCTGGGTGGGCAAATCGGCTTCGCAAGCGCTGCGCTCGTCGGCCGCGCGGGCCGCGCTTGCGCCCGCGTAATCAGCTCCCACCGAGGCGGTTGGACGGAAGAACTCGGGTACGGGCTACGCTGGTGGCGCGCTCTGCTGACGATGCCGCTGCACTACTACCAAGACCATGACTGCAAGTCGAGGCGCGCGGTCGCATGGGCAGACGGCTCATGGGAAATGGGCGCTGGCGATGGCGCACTGGGAGCCGTGCTGCTCACCGCCGACGGAGGCTGGACCTTGGCAGCAGCGGTGCCCGCAGACCTGCGCGAAGAGCTGCGCGAGACTGGCAAGCGGCAGCTGAACACTCAGTC